ATCATTTAGAATGGATATGAACTTAGAGAAGTGTTATAGTACTGTAGAGACGTATCTATCGATCACGAAGATTGGATGTAAATGCGAGGCAATAGATAGTAGGGTCATGGGCATGGTAACGTCATGATATCATAGAGGCGAGACTTTCATGGAGTCATCGATTCCTTGCTCTCGTAGAAGAAGAGCGCTTGGTCATGAAAGAGGTCGAGGAGATAGAAAATATAGAGGCAAACTATAAGTACAGAGATAAAACCAAAGGGTAGAGGCTAGAGAACTTCGTAAGATTGGTGTAAACGGGCTTCTTATCAAAATAGTCGAAAGTGGGGAATTTTGGATTGATGCAAGAGTGCTTGACCAAGAAATGAAGTAAACAGTACATGGTATTATATCTTTTCTACTTAGAGGAGTATGTGATAAAAATGATGGAGAAGACGGTCAAATCTCAAAGGAAACCAAAATTATTAGAGACTTCATATGCTTTATAAGTGTAAGTAAAATGCAAGCAAAGGCTAGTAATTAACTCGATATATGAAGTACAACCATTGAGGGGGTGGGCGAAGTCGAGTAACCTTTGTCTTCTCAACTCTTAAAAGAATAGGCGAAACTGAATACTATAATTCTCTTGTTTATCTAACAAAGAAGCTCTACACATCTTCAAAGACCCTCTTAAGAAAGTGAAAGACAATAGTTGTCAAATTCTCACAAATAGTGAATGATTTTATCAAGAGTAGATTGTCCGCTTTATTTTTTAATATAATATCAGTCGAAAATAAAAATGATGCGAACCTACTTGAAGGCGACAAATAGGTGAAAGAGGAATCATTAGACAAATTTTATGAAGGAAAAACCTTAAAATCTTTAAAGTTTGTGAGACAATACTTGTTAAAGCTTTAATACGCATCCATCTAATTCAAGCGGCATGAGACATTTAAGAGACTAGTGCATTACAAGGAAGGTCATTTCCTTTATCTGTAGGATCCACATGAACCAACATGAAACAACACCATTAGGATCTTAATAGCACTAAGAGGAGGGGAAGTACATCGTCAGCTAATCTTCATCCGACACATGATCGTCACATGGTGTCCAAGGTGGAAGGAGAAGATGGAGGCCACCCTCCGCACGTTTCCCAACATGGGCAAAGGTCCAAGACAAGTGATTATGGAACGTCCTCCCCTCCTTTGTCACTCATATGAACAAGAGGCCATTGGAGGCAGTTAGAGGTTATCTTCTATAAAATATTCTGCCCCTTTACAATCGGGTATAAAAGCTTATCTTCAACACGATAAAAGGAGGATCGCCTTTTTTTATCATTTGTGTTCATATCATATACCTCGTAGGGAAACCTCTTTCAGCATTGGTCTTCGTACAGGTGACATGTTAGACAACCTTACGCATATGAGTCCGGATTACGTCGGGTTGATCAGATCGTTAACAACTTCTTCCCTCAACAAAGATAAATATTAAAATAAAATAAATTAATTTTGTATATGTTAATTTTAAATTTTTTGGGACGTGGAGGAGTAACTCCTGTGCAAGAGCGTTGGATCTTGGAAGAACAATTTAAATATCCTTACCATTTTCCTTGAGTTGGAATTTGATCCTAATAATAATATTATTTGGATTTGGATATTGTAATCGTTTCGAATTGATGGAACACGCTATAAATGTTTTGGCTATTAATTGATTAATGATCTCGCCGAGTACGTTGAATGGTGTGTAAAATTATGTTATGGTGTTTAGGCCTGCATTCTCATAAGATGATTGATGGAGATATGGTATCCGACCCGCCTGACTTCTTACTCGAGCAATGGCAGTGGCGTTACATATCCTCCAGCCTACTAATAGCGACCACTAAATATGATCGATAAGTAGAGGAGAACGGCTACGTAGTGATTCCCAAGACGAGAAGCAGACACTTTCGTTCCAAGTTGCGTATTCGCATGACATGAGTGAATGCGAAGGTCACGTCACGTATTCGCACGACGGATGGAAGAGATTGGGCTCTCAATTAAAAGATAATTTTTATGCATATACACAATCTACAAATGATCAAAAGCATCCATCCACAAATCTTATTCCAACATATTTTGTAGATGAATAGGAAATTTTCTTTTGCCTGGGAAGGAGAAAAACGAGTGAGGAATGAGCAGCATGCGAGAAAGAAGTAATGTGGCAAGCACACAAGGTCACAGGTAGAAGAAGCCGACTTGAAAGAAACGAAGATATAGGGCTACAAACAATGCAGCTCCAACAGTGAATAATGGTAACACAAAAAAGAATAAGAAAGAAGTATCATGTCTCAAATATTAAGTCTAAGCAGCATAAAAATAAGCTGTTAGAAACACCAACAACAAAGAACTTAGATGAATTCCTCCAAATGGGCCTTGGTTTTCAAGAGGTCAAAGGAACCTCAGCACAAAATAGAGGCTCTGATGAAGAGAAATAGAGGCTGAAATAGTGGCAACATGCTCTTTTAGCATAGCAAGATATGACAAAATCATCTGTTCATAAAAGGTTTCTATTAGAGCATGTGCAATTATCTAACAAATCAAATGACCAACTCCCATAGCATATAGTCTTTAGGTACAAAATTCTGAAAAAGAGGTGATAAAAGAACCCATTGTTTCAAGGATGTCTGCCTTTAATCTGGAGAAGCGAAATTTGTGGACTGATGCTATGAAAAAAGAAATGCAGGCTTCAAGGGCACATTCTATAAATATGCCATGTTCAGACTTTCTAAGTGTTTTGCTGAAATGTAATTCTGAGCAATCGATTTTCTAAGAATGAGAACCAAAAAACCTAAGTCATCGTAAACTTTAAACCTTTAAACTCAAATGCCTCATTGATACTACACAATGCGTGATGACATAAGTATCCTCATGAAGATCATCCTACTGCAACCACTAGTCCATTCCACAACAACATGCGGAACAATGACTCTTCCAGATAAGTTATTCAAAATAAAGGCGACCATGAAACCTATCAGCAACTTACATTACATGGCTACAGGCTTGCCTTATCGTGGAGCATTGAGAGTGCTGCTTTATCAGTGAACCAAGTGAACTTGCCATCTTCAAGGGAAACCATCTCAACAGGCAGCAAATCAGATGATGTTTTCTCACTCCCCAGAGCCTTAAAAACTGCACCAGCTTTCCCAGCTCCAGTGACCACCAAGGCAACATAAGCGGATGCGTTGATAACAGGAAACGTGAATGTAATTCTTTCAGGTGGTGGCTTTGGAGAGTCCTTTACGTAGGTAACCCACTTTTCCGTCATACTCAGCAGGGCGTGGCCAGGGAAAAGAGAAGCAATGTGGCCATCCGGTCCCATCCCCATTAACATGAGATCAAATCTTGGGTACCCTGTTGTTGATACCACGATCACACCAGCATTAACCAAATTCTTCAAAGCAGCCTCATGGTCTTCAGCAGCACCCTCCGCTGATGAGGCATCATTGATGGCGTAAACTTGAACTGGTGGAATTGGGACCTGTCGTTAAATAAATAAATAAACTAATGACCCCGAAGCAATATTTTTGATAAGTAAAGAAAATAAGAGAAGCATAATAGTGGCGTCGCCCTAAAACTTGTTGATCTCCACCACAATGAACCTCAAATTAAACAGGTACTCTGCTGTTATTAAGCTCTATGTTGTTGTCAGGCCACTTGTATATCCAAGATTTCAAAAGAACAATCCATGACTAAGTCATTCCTAAACTGAATCAACAAATGCAATCTACTCAAGCTCAAGAAATGAAACTTATGTATTTAATCTTTGTTCCAGATTATCCTTCGATATAAAGGTAATAACCATCCAATTTAAATCTATTTTCAAAAACTGGGCATGCAATCCAAGCTAAAACTGTCGAACTTGCATTCCATTTACATCCATTGAGTGAAAAAACTAGGGCGGCAATCATGAAAGATAAGAACTGCAAGATCAAGAGAGAGGTAACGGTGAGCAATTTCCTCTTTGCCAAATATTGCTCGAGAAGAACGAAATTTAGTACCTTAGACAAAAAACTATCAAATGCTAGCTTGTAGTTGCTGTCTTCGTGATCCTTTGGCACCACTCTTTCATCTACCCAGAAAACGTGCCATTTCGCCCAATCCACCGATTCCAAATAAGGAGATTCCGTCAATTTCCTACAAAAACAGGGGTTTTTTTTTTAATGTCTCACATTCCTAACCCATCAACCCTAGAAATCCAAAACTGACGGCAAGCTCAGCTCCAAACCTGAGGGACTTGACGAGAGATCCGCCGGAGATCACCACAGTGAAGACGCCCCTTTCTTGGACGAACTTCTCCGACAACTCCGCCGTGTACTTCGCCAGCGACACGGAGAGCTCCTCGTCGCTGTCGAAGACCAGCAAGTCCTGCTTCCCATTCGCCGCCGTCGCGGTGGAAGTCGCTTCGTAGGCCATGGCGAGAGGCGGGGACAGCGGTCTGCGGTTGGATCGGAGCGGAGCACGGGCGTCAGGACAGCGGGAGATCCTCGCGCCCGGATATAGGGTTCCGGTCGGCAGGTGCAATCGTGGGGTCGCCGGGAGCATGAAACGCCATGTCAGCGGCAGGTGGCGGAGCCGGTAAGCAGGAGCGGCAGGGTAGTGGGAGACGCCGGAGGCAGCCATGTTGCGGAGCCGGGCTTCCGGGAAACAGTTGTCCGCCTATAGTCGATCGAGTTCGTCCGCTGATATCCGTTGACATGAAGATGGACGGCTAGTGCTGTGCCGTCGAAGGAGAAAGTCTAATGGATGAATCCATGTAAGTGATGTATTGTGATCTGCGCAAAGAGAGCGATCAGAGAAGGTCGCGACTGGGCCTGCATCGTTTAGAACAGGGAACAAGATTTCTCACCCACGGTTGTAATGCAACGTGTCCAGATTTAACTCGATATTGTCCCTGAACATTGCTCTTCTAAATTTAAATTTTATATATATATATATATATATATATATATATATATATATATATATATATATAATTTGCGCATGACATTAAAGGCGAATACCAGAATTAATGCATTAAGAACATTCGAATACAATCTTTTCATGGGTAAATGTAGATTATAGACAAATAGGAAACAATAAAAGATTTCTAGTGGAAGCATCTTTCTTCAATTCGACGGGCTTGCGTGGTCTCTCGTATCGAAACCCTCAAAACAGCTCTGGAAGATGACACAAAATAAAGCAGTGAGTAGTCAATCGTGTTGGTTAACGCATTTAAATTTAGAAAGAGAACTACATAAATAATGACACAACAGTCTGTCGGTATTTTATATTGCATAAATGCTCAAAAAATGAATTATCATGATGTCCCATACTAACACAACGTCACTTACCCTAATGTGTCTTATCGACTTGTTTTATTTTGAGAATTTATAGAGCATGCATGAAGGTACTATAAATTTTAGCTTTTAGTCTGCAAAAGAATATATATCATCCGATGCCATCACGACCGTCACAACAGACGGTTCTGATCTTTCGAGCACTCGAGGTTTTGGCGTAATTTGACTCAGCTTCGGCTACGATCCCGCCGTTGGTTGGGCAAAATGCACCCTTCCACTCGCGTGCGTGTGGGCCGCGTACGCGGGACTCGAAGGCAACTTGGACCAGCCCATGCATGTGCACAGTCACTGTTCCCACGTACCTTCTTGTCCTCCGTAGGGCAACCGAGTTCTGCCCCGTCCGCGGCTCCCAGGTGGGGCCATTGCCGCCTCACTCACAACTCGAGCGAGCGATGAACCGGTAGCGAGTTGGGTAAAGTGGGTGGAGTAACTAGTTACTGTCGCCTTTAGACGGGCGACCGTCGTACTGTCAGCGACACGGTGTTTTGGGTCGCAGCAGCGCGGCAGTCCAAGTGAGATAGATCGCGACCTCACCGTGGATCCGACCAAGGAATCATCGCCAGCTGAACTGGTGCATCGAACAGTGTCGGAGTCGAGATAAGCGAGCTGCGATCCTAATCTCAATGGAGGACTGCGTGAGGGAAGCTTGTTGAGACTCCACATAATTTTCTATCGTTTTATGTATCTTTGATTAGATCTAACCACATGAAACTACACCAAACCGGTGGCGATCACTTGTGCGATCCAGTGAACCACGATAGTACTGGCTGCAGTTCACTTCATCTGCACCTTAGAACGCGGCTGACGCCTATTCAGAGAGAGGGAAGATTACCAGATGCTGCTTCCCCGGCGATTGGAGGCTTCTCTGCTTTGTTTCTTTCCTTCAGCGCCTCTTCCTTGGGCTCTACCATCTCCGGATGGATCTTCTTCTTCAACATCCTTGGTATCAGCTACCCATTAGCCAACAAAACGAAGAACATATTAGTAGTAGTAGTAATCGTTCCAGTTACCTGAAGAATGTGATTATTACGGGTAACAGAGGATAGAAACATGTACTGTTTGTAGTTTTCCAGTGGTAGTGGTGGTTGCAGGTGGCTTCTGATCTCCTTTACTTTTCTTGTGCTGCATGTTATTCTTAGCATTGATCGCCTGCTGCTTGCCCCTCACATTGGTTCCGTCGGGTACTGTCTTCGCCGCTGAATCGTTGTCGCTGACAGCATTGGCCGCCAGCAGATCGGCGAGCGTCGTCCTCCGCCGGTGTCTCTTCTCCTTGTGCTCCTTCAGCAATGGCAGCTCAAGGATCTTCTCAGATCCCTGTACCTCGTGCACCTGCACCACCTCCATTATCTTCTTCTCCTCATCCTCGACCGACAACTTGATATTAAATGACTCCTTGCGTACGGCTGCCGAAGCTTCTCGCGCTACCTCAAACAACCCAGCTTCCTCCACTTCCTCTATGACTTCTCCAACCTCTCCGAGAAGCTCTTCTGAATCGAAGTAAGCTTCAGGCACAAGGTGGTGGTGATGGCCTAAGGTGCCAATGGTGAGGATGCCATTAAGCATGTCATGGAGAAGCAGCGCATCCGTGTCCGTCTCCACCACTGCCTTCTCTTCGACATCTTCATCTGGCAATCAAGCATAAAAGAACTGCTACCATTGTATCTCAAATCCATAACTCGTTCAGGGAAATTTAACCGAAGGATTGCCATGACAAGCACGAACGGACCTTGTGAAACCTGGGAGTAGTTGTTGCCGGAGTGCAGTTTACGGTGCATCCAGTTGAAGATCTGCAAATGTACGCAGTTACAAGTTCCATGGAGAAGCCAGTCAAGGATTCAACAACAGTAAACAGCAACTAGTTTCTGCAGAGGATGCTTGATGCACTTACTTTCATTTCTTCGTGTCAGGGATGAACAGTCGAAGAACTGAAGCCTACTGCAATGTCGGATTTGAGCTGGGAGTTAAATAAGCAAGGAGACCGTGTAATCATTGGAGGGAGGGGGGGGGTGTGTGCAAAGTCCTCGGATGCTGAGGGAAACTAGTATGAGATTGTAGATGGAGGATGTATTTTTCTGTCAGTCTCGGAGTAGCTTGTAATAAGCATTGGGAGTGAGATGTGTTTACATCTGTTTGGAAGTACGTCAAAACATGGTGGGAAATAGTCCCGATCCGAACCCATCTGCATGCTACTTCTCGGCAGAAGACCTGATCCAACCTGACTGCATTCCATTTACAGCTGGAGATGCATGCAACGTCGTCGTGATCCTTCCTTTTCTAGGCCACGTTCATGTATCAAGAAGGTGACACTGTAACAGCTCGCTGGGTCAACCGAGGAGCACTTCAGATGAACCTTTATGCTCCTCTGAGAACACAGTCTCAACAATTTGGATGAGTACCTGATACTCACATTTCTGCTCTCTTTAATTATTCTCGATTGGAAAATTCATGTGATGGTTTTTTTTGGTGTATACTTAATCGTGTGATATCATTACAGCTAATCAGGATTTGAATCATCTAAACGATTGCGTATTGATCTCGAGCCATTAGTGTTGTAGTTTAGGTGAGGCACACCCATCCTAACCCAACGAAAAATATGTGCTTTCCTGATCCGTAAGCAAGCTCATCTGCTGCAGATATGGGTAATGGGATCCACTCTCAAAAGTGGCCTTGACATCCACCCACTTTATAGACAATCATCTTTACAAGTTGAAGCCCCACACTGCAGGGGTTTTCCATCTTGCATTGTGAGCCTCTAAGTTCGAGAATTAGCTCCCTTTTTCCTTTTTTTTTTTGCCTTTTTTGGTATCTTGTCTTTGTTGTTGTTGTGTTGCTGCTGCTATGTGGTGGTGATGATGGTTGTGTTTGGGTGGTCACTGGTGAGAGGGATGGGTAAATAGATATAACAGCAGTGTAGGTTGGCCATGTAAAGACCTTGGTTGGATTCAAATATTGATCTATGTTGAAAGGAATCCAATGCGCATAGCATCAAACAAGTTCACAGAAGTTCTTGATATGCACATCAGATTCTTTGATTACACAGTGTTAGAGACCTGCCTGCAGTGGCACAAGAGACATTTGTTGTTGTCATAACAATGGCTTCATTCAATGAACGAGAATATAAAAGATGATACAGACTTCGCATTCACTGTATCAATTATGTAAAACAGCAAAGACTAGCTTCAATCTGCAATCGCAATTTGCTTGGTCTATCTCCTTGTTGGAAAAGGACTTAATAACCTCATCTTAAAGCAGAAGTCAAGAGCAACAGCAGCAGCAAGAAAGATAAAGATATTCTCTGACACATACACTGCTCCATCAATTGAAAATGAGATGAAAGTTTCAGCATCCAGTTTCAGAATCCTCCCAGTCTCAGCTGCCGAAAGCCCTGCAAATTCATGCACCGCCATTCAACTTCGAATCCTTAGTGTGCACTTGCAATTTTAGGGAAATATAAACCACATGAGCAATAAAGAATGCGTATATGCTAACTCGTATTCAGAGCATCGCAATGACTGGGAGATTCATACCCTTGATTAAACCAAAGGCCGCACATGTCCCTGTTTTGAGTTGAAGATTATCCAGGTCTTGTCTTACCGTGTACCGAAAGGTAACTCCAAATAAAGCACAGCTAATAGAAATGACTGCCAAGTCAAGAATAACTTGAGGGACGCTAGTAGCTTGATACAGATATATAGGGACACTAGCAAGTGTGCCAACCACAGATGAAACTACAGCAGCCTTTGCAGATTCTAATCTCTCTTTCTCTTTGTTAATGTCTTCGAAGACAATATCAGAATTATTGCTGTCATCCGTATTCGCTGACAGGGATCGCTGAGCTTCTTCCACCTTTGCCCTTGCTTCTAACAATTCCCTTTGAGATTGTGCAATCTTAATAGGACAAGGGAAGTAAAATAAGAAATAATCCATTCAATTGCACAAATGACAAAAAAGATGCATCTTAAATCAGCTTATAGCACAAATGAAGAGTTTGGAATATTGTGTCTCACTTCCAAATAATCTACATATAGTTCTTACTATTTTGGTTCGTTTCTTCTGCTAAAAGAGTCCTCATGTTATATTGGTTGTGTGGACATCTATTTCTCATCTGTTAAGTAACCCCATCTCCTCACCTGATAAAGACTAATTCTAAAGGCTCAAACTTCTAAAAAGAAGGGAAGTCGGCAGCTAAAAAGGTGAGATTCAATCAGTCACAACTCTTCACAATCTCTTGCATTCACAGACAGCTGCTAAAAGTTTATTTATGTAAGATGGCTTTCTCCTGTTGAATATAAATTGGACAAATATCTTTGAAATGAACAAAACAAAAGCTAGTTTCTTAGCCTTCTTGCTATTCTTTATCTGAATTCTTTTTTTTTAGTGGGCATGCAATCATAATGCTCTAATTTTTTTGGCCCACTTCCTATGTCCTTATTTTAAATTAATCTTTGAATTTCCTGGTTTCCTTCTACTGATTGGTGCTAGAGAACAATGTCATTAAGAAGGCAACCATATGGATTAATTTAGTTGGATGTCGAGTAGAGGGTGAAGGCATCAGAGTGAGTGCCCTAAAAGTGAAGGAAAAACACCTATGGATTCACCAGAGTTCACGTTGCCAGAGCCCCTTTGATGCCTGGGTGGAATGCAGTGGAAGATACAAAGGAGCTAATTAGAGGGCCCTCTTATATGCAATCAAGAAGATTATTTTATTGGTGGCAGCAGCCAGCCAAAGCTGAATAAATTGAGGATAAGGGAAAATTGTTAGACCTAGATTTGGCCATCTGCTGGCAGGAATAGGTTTCTCCACAGTCCCTACACTCTGCACAAAGTGCCAGAGATCATGAGTAGTTATGGCAATGGCTTGCACAAGCAGATCACAAGCAGTACAGATCTCAGAGAACATAAGTGACACTTGGCATAAGTCCTCAAAGAGGTTTTTAGCAAGTGATGTTTGGCATAAGTCAAAAATCATCAATGTTCTATGTGGAAGATAGCACAAAGGTCTAGTATCCCCTATGCGTCTAAAACAAGGTACCATCTCGCCGTCGTCAGATTCCAAATAACATCCTATACTTTAATCTTCAACTAAATAAAGAGGGTTATAACAAAATTATATTTTCTATATTCTTCTGTGCTGAGGCTAATGGCAGAGCTTCATGTCTGTAATTCATCAGGTTAATAAAGTTACTTTATGGGGTTTTTTACAATAATTTCTTCGTAAATAAGTGTGATAGCAATTGGTAATCTGAAACAAGAAATGGTCAATAGATCATGCAAGGGCAGTGCTACATTCTGCTTACAACATAAAGGTACTACCCACAACTGTGGTGCATAAGGGGTCCAAGAACTAGATTCTTTTTTAATGAAGAGGTACTGTTATAGCAAATTATCAAGAAGGTCATCTGTTGAGATTTTCTAGCTGTCAACAATGTGAAACATTTGCTCAGGAAAGCAAAAAGGTCATAACGGTCAAAATATTGAGATTTTGCAAAGGCCTAGACGAGGTATAAAAAATCAACTGCCTTTGTGAGCTGGTGATACATAATTGACAAGTTTAATAGTTCAATTTTATCCAAGAACAAGAAGGAAAATTGTGTATACCACGCTGTTTGAGAGAGGGACCAAGCTTATGGATGTGAAGCTGGTTTTTAAGTAAGAAACACTCTGCAGTATGCAAATTAAAGTTATCAGTGAAGAAAAAATACATTTGCTCAGGCAACCAAATTGTGATAATGGTTTGATATTCTGGTTCCAAAGAGTGAGCCTTTGCAAAGATGTAGACAATTGGCTACATAAGACAAGTTAAAGTGTTCAAATTTTTCTAAGCATAAGTAGAGGAAAAAAAATATGTATATCATGGTGTTGGAACAAGTGGTGATCCTGATTATGGAAGTGAAAGCTGGTTCTCGAGCAAGAAGCCCTTTGCAGATTGTAAAATGAACAAAAGAATGTGATGGACTTATCTGATTTATTTCAATAAGGTAGTTATTTTTTTTCTTTTTTTTTATTTTACTTAAAAATGATGACAATGCTTCCTCATGGAGGTCCGTGGTGGTCAAAAAATTCATTGGCCATTTCGTCAACTATTTACATGGCCAACATATGAACCGCACAATTGATGTTGATATACACACATTAAGGATGACAACGGGTGAATCAATTAATCAAATAACTTGAGGGCTCAAATGACTGGATGCATGAAGTCATATAACAGGGCAAAGAGAGAGCTCACCTCCGCCTCGCGATTTTGGAGCTGGCGCATGTACTCCTTAGCCCTCAAGACGTCGGCTGCCCGGCGCTCGATGTCCGCGAGAGCCTCCCTCGCCCGCTCCACCCTGGCGGAGGCCTCCTCGAGCCCGTCGAGTAGGGCCTTGTTCTCCTCCCTCCTCAGCAGCTCGTCCACCATGCCCGAAAGCGCCTCCTCCTCCGGGCGCGACCCCGTCCCTTCGGAGTTGGCGCCGCATCGCCACCGTCGCGGAGGAGAAGAGGAGGAGGAGAGAAGATTTAAGCTTGAAATTGGTTTGGGGCAGTGGATATGGTGAGGGTCGCTGGAGATTAGTTTTCTTGAGCGGAGGAGGGAGGATGACACGCAGCGGAACTGTGGGATTGCGGATGCCGGAGGCGGCATCACAAAATCTGTAGCGGAGAGACTCCGGGCTCGAATTGTCACCGGATATGATACGAAGCGGGCTAAGAGCCTCTTCTGGCGATGCTTTTCCTACCCGTTTAGTCACACTCGCATCAGTTACCCGCATTTTGGATGGGAAATCGATGGTACTTATGTGGGCCCCGTTTTACGTGGCCCGCCTCTCTGTCGGCGTACCGGCCCGTCCACGGACGGGAGTCTCTCTCTAGAGTTCAGAAGGAACGGCCGCCTCTCTGTCTTTGACGGCGGCATCTAACGCTGGGAAACCCAAAGCAAACCCTCGTCTCCTCGCCTGCAGAAACCCTACCTCTCCAAAACCCTCCTTCAATCCTCACGCCCCGCGGATCCAGCCGAGCCCTCACCACCGCCATTTTCATCCCCGCCCAAAAAACCCTTGCTTCCACCAATTGGGTCGTCGTCGTTGCCGCTGGAGTTGGACGCCTCTTCCCGGAGCATGAAGTCCCACCTCGCCGCCGGAGAGACCCTCGACGGCCTCTTTCTCCGCAGCGCCACCCCGACCCTCGTCGACAACACCGTTCTCCCCGGCTACGGCTTCGTGGTCGTTGGCATGAGGCACGGCCCCGGGAGCGTCCCTGACTTCGCGTCCTCGCCGCCTCACGCATGCTTGCCGGAGGAATTAAAGGCGAGGGTGTACGTCATGGTTGCGGGCCGCGGTGGAGGACGTCGGCGGTTCCAGCTGGCGGAGACAGAGATCGGCGAGGAGGGGGCCGAGGACGAGAAGCCCAGGGATGGGTCGTCCTGGAGCGAGTTAGGCGAGTCGAGCACTTCAACCCACCGGACGGAGTGAGTTGACCCAGGAAGACCCAAAGTAGAGCAACTCAACCCCACCCAGGATATCATCGGTTAGGCCTTTGTTGTTTCTTCTGATCATTTTATTTTCCCTTTTTCGTTTTTTTTGTTGAAGCAGATTTTTCAATAACTCTACTAATTGGAAAATACAAAGTGTATGTATATACATTGGTTTATTATTTTTAACATCAACATTATGTTATATGGTCTCAATGTTGTCGTTTGATAGGTACCACATCTTTTATTTATCAATTAACACTAATGAAACAGAGTTTGCAATGTAACGATGCTTTCGTACTATTTATTCTCAGTTCATAAAGCGAAAAATGAAACTATCGATATGCAGAATACTTGACTAACAGTTGAGAAAAGCACAATCAACCATTCATTCCTTTCCTCTCGAACCTCTTCATGGGCGCTATGATTTCTGCGTACTGACCATGTCAGGAACAAGCACACCGAGTTCCTTTTCTCAGGGCACTGGTTTCCATCATTGAGACCTCAGAAAGAACCGACACCTTGTTCCCCTTTAGTCTCAGCACATCGTTCCCACCGTCTCTGCTGCCTTCGTCGCTCTCCAAGTCCTTCCTTGACACCACTCCATGGATTTCCTCTATCAGCCTCAAGAACGCGCTCTCCACGTTGTCGCCACTGAGTGCAGACGCCTCCGAGAAGAACAGCCCTTGTTCCTCCGCAAACTCCACGGCGTCCTCGGTGGACACCGCCCTTTTTTCAGCGAGGTCGGACTTGTTCCCGATCAACATGATGACGATGGCCTTGTCCGCGTTCGCTCGCAGTTCCTCCACCCACCTCGCCACGTGATCGAACGTCGGCCTTTTGGTGATGTCGTACACCAGCATGGCACCGAGAGCTCCTCTGTAGTAAGCACTCGTGACCGCTCGGTACCTGCACTTGGGGTTACATCACTGGAAGCCGAGTCACGCAACTCCTACCGGACCGGAGGAGGAAGGGGATGGAGACATATACCTCTCCTGGCCGGCAGTGTCCCAGATTTGGGCCTTGATGCGCTTGCGGTTGAGCACGATGGTTCGAGTCTGGAACTCGATGCCGATGGTGGACTTGGAGTCGAAGCAGAACTCGTCCTTGGTGAACCTCGACAGCAACTGCGTCTTCCCGACGGCCGAGTCGCCGATCACCACGACCTTGAACACGTAGTCGATCTCCGCCGCCCTCTCCGCACCCCACTCGTCTTCCATCGCTGTCGCCTCTTCCGATCCTTGTTGTGGCTGCTGTTGGAAGCTGGGCTCAGGAAGGGGAGGATACACAAGCATTAATAGAGAAACATCACCCAGGAATTAGGTGGCATATATTGATGATGCTGCCTTAGAAAAGAAGTCTTCTTCTTTAAAAGAAGCAGGTAGCACCAGCGGCCCCATCCAAAAGTGGATGACAATGATGCCAAGAACTCATGCAACTAGTATTCGATGACCATGGAGAGCATCAACACTTGGTAGAAAGCGAGTGACTTTGCTGTATCCAATGCACCATGGCCAGCGACTCACCCTGTCCTTCCCAAAACTATTCCTAAGCAAATGGGGAGACAACATGAGTGCGAGGAGGGTCAGAGAAGCTGCTAAGTTATAGCCAAGCTTTAACAGAGAAGAGGGATGATGGAAATGGATGGAAACCACCGACTCCTCCTGCTCCCTTCTTTACTTGCTGCAACTAGCCGTTGAGATGAGGCTGAAGACCAACCAGGAGGACCCCATCACTGTGCTTCTACTGCTGTGTGACGATTCTGAAAACAAAGACAAATAGCAGAGAGAGAGAGAGAGAGAGCAGTGTGCATGCAGATGAGTCCCCGTGCATCAATTGAGATCTTGATTAAGAACGCAAACCTGCAACCTACCATTCTTAGCCTCAATGGTGGGCACTGACGTCCGAAAAAGAACAAAAAAGAAAGAAGAAGATAATTTACCAAATAAAATCCTCATATTTATTTTTTAATCATATGATATCTCTTATAAATCATTTATATATTTGAGCTTTGTGTTTTTTTTGTAGATATCAATTTTATCCTTATAAAATCTTTGTATCGATTCGGATCAAATCCCTAAACCCTCCTCAGCTTCTTCTTCACCCTCTGTCTTCTTCGGTACAGGTGAATGTTTTAAACAAAGAAATATTTTTTTGTATTTTAACGTGCTTGGTATGTTTGCTAAACACTTGAAAACAAGTGTACTATGGAAGGATGAATAGCATCTTAGGTTGAGTTGTGTATTGTTTAGCTCCGAGAAGCATAATACAATTTACTTTCTTTCTTGAAATATATATATATATATATATATA